GATGGCCTCCTCGGCTAGTGGAATCTGCCAGTATCCCTTACACAGATCAATGGTAGTGAGATACTGGCCTCTTGCCATCCTATCTAGCAGCTCATCTATACGGGGCATCGGGTAGGCGTCAGACACTGTTTTGTCATTGAGCCTCCGGTAGTCTACACAAAACCGCGTGGTGCCATCCTTCTTGGGTACTAGCACTACCGGTGATGCCCAGGGGCTATCTGAATGTTCGATAACCCCTAACTGCAACATTTCCTCAATTTCTTTCCTCATGTGCTCCTTTACTGCTTCAGGGATACGATACGGAGTCTGTCTCATAGGGAGCTGTCCTGGGGTCTCTACTCGGTGGGTAGCTAACAGAGTGTACCCTGGTAAATTGGAGAAGGTAGCACCTTTTGCCGCAATCAATTCCTGTACCTGGGCACGCTCCTGGAGACTTAGCCGCTCCCCCAGCTGCACACCTGTAGCGTTTTCTGCAGAATCTTCCTTTTCTAACATGTCTGGCAAGGGCAGATTCTCATAATCCTCAGTGGCTGGGGCACAGATGGCTGCTACCTCCTCTATTCTCTGGTGATAGGGTTTGAGCATGTTCACATGGAGCATGCGTCGTTTCCCTACCCCAGAGCACGGGCCGATCACATAAGTGGTGTCACATCTCTGTTCTACCACTTGGTATGGGCCCTGCCAGGTGGCCTGTAGCTTGTCTGTGCGGACAGGTTTCAAAATTAGAACTTTCTGTCCCACCTGAAAGCTACGGTCTCTGGCTCCCCTATCGTACCACCGGCGCTGTCGCCGCTGAGCCGCCCGGAGGTTCTCCCGTACGGTTTGGGTTAGAGCCTCCAAGCGGTCCCGGAACTCCAGCACGTATGGCACAATGGGGACTCCATCTGCACTGCTCCCCCCCTCCCAATGTTCTCTAATTAAGTTTAGGGGTCCCCTCACCCTTCTCCCAAACAATAACTCAAACGGAGAGAAGCCGGTAGATTCCTGTGGCACTTCTCGGTACGCAAAAAGCAGATGGGGTAAAAACCTCTCCCAGTCTTTATGGGACTCCCCAAATGTCCTGAGCATCTGCTTCAAGGTACCGTTAAAGCGCTCACACAACCCATTGGACTGCGGGTGATAGGCAGAATTTACAATTGGCTTAATGCCACATAACTTCCATAGCTGGTGGGTCACTTCGGCTGTAAATTGGGTCCCCCTATCCGAAATTATCTCTTGGGGAAATCCCATCCTGGAAAATATCTTCATCATAGCTTCGGCTACCGTTTCTGCTTGTATATTGGAAAGGGCTATAGCCTCCGGGTACCGGGTGGCATAATCTACAATGGTCAGAATATACCGCTTGCCGGAAGGGCTAGGCTTGGACAGTGGTCCTACTATATCCACTGCTACTCTGCTAAAGGGTTCTTCAATAATGGGAAGGGGGCACAATTTCGCTTTGTGGCGGTCACCCCTTTTTCCCACTCTCTGACAAATGTCACATGTCTGACAATACTGTCTCACATCTCTAGATATACCTGGCCAGAAAAATGCATGTGTCAATCTGTACCTCGTTCTTGTCATCCCTAAATGCCCAGACAGCGGAATATCGTGGGCAATTCTAAGCAGTTCCTGCCGGTATTTCTGGGGCACTATAAGCTGCTTATTAGTCACATGTACAGACCCCCCTACCACCCGCTCAGCAACACGATATAACAGATTTTTCTCCCATACATACTGTTCTCCCTCTAAACCTGTCTGACCAGCTGTCGCCTTATCCTTATAAATTTGCAACGTGGGATCGTTTTTAACCTCTGCCTCAAAGTCAGTCGGGGTATCCCAGGAAACACGGGTTACACGGGTACATTGTCTCTTACCTGAGCCTCAGAGTGTGTGGAAGATGAAGCCGTGGTGCGAGCCTGCTGACGGGTGGTCACTGGATATGCCTCATGGCGAGGACTTTGGGGCACAAAAGCGGAAGTCATTTGCCCCAGGTCATTCCCCAAAACAACATCAGCTGGTAACTTGTGCATCAGCCCCACCTCCACCATACCTTCCCCCGCACCCCAATTCAGATGTACCTTGGCAGTTGGTAGCCGGTACATGGCACCCCCTGCTACCCGGACTGCTACCGATCCCCCGGTATGTGCTGATCCTGACACCAAATGCGGGGCAACCAAAGTTAAGGTAGCACCGGAATCACGTAGCCCCTGTACCTCTTTCCCTTCCAGAGTCACGGTCTGGCAATGTGGTTGTCGGTTGTCAGTAGCATGGATGGACATTACATCGTGCAAAACGCCCAGGGGTTCATCAGCCGACTCAAGCGGCACTCCTGGCAAAGTTGGCTCTGCATGATAATAATGAGCAGCTGCCCGCGGGGCCATATTCTGCCGGAGCTGATTCCAGTTCTTGCGGCTCCGGTTTTGGGTGCACTCCCGGGCCATGTGCCCCATTGCTTACAGGCATGGCACTGGATGTTGGACCTGCCATTATAACGGGAGTGGGGAGGTTGTCCCACAAGTGCTGGTCTGGATGGTGCTGTCGCTGGGGCAGGAGCAATAACTGGAAACGGTTGCGGGTTGGGTTTTGCATACCCTCGGTTATTATTTTTATGATGCCTCCTAGCATCGTGCCGCTTCGGTTAGGGTGTGAGGATTTTGGTCATTCACCCATTCTTGAGCCTCTGGTGCCAGGCCATTACAAAACTGCTCCAGTAGCAACATCTGGCGTAACTCTTCCATGGTGGTAGCTCTGCTGGCTTGTATCCAGCCTTGTGAGGCTTGGTCAAGCTTGTGTGCCCACTCCGCATGTGAGTCTTTGTCCCCTTTTTTCAATTCTCGGAACTTGCGCCGGTATGCCTCTGGGGTAATGGCATACCTTTCTAATAGCGCCTGCTTTACCTTGTCATAATTCTTGCTGTCCTCTCTGGGTACAGCCCGGTAGGCGTCTGCTGCACGCCCAGACAGTTTGCCTGCCAACAAAGGTACCCACATAGCTTGCTCTACATCATGCAAGTCACACAATCTTTCAAAATCTTGCAAGAATCCATCTATTTCGTCTTTATCCTCGCAAAAAGTTTTAAATGCATGATGTGGTATTTTTGGCCTTCCCTGGCCCACAGTTGAAACAACAGCGGTTTCTGCTTGAGGTGAGAAGGCTTGATTCATTTGCGCCATCACGTACTCCTGTGCATCCGCCGAAATTATGGTCATAATTTCTGGAGATACTGGAGCGGGCCAAAATGCCAATCTTGTCCTCATTTCTCGTTCAAATGGGGTCTCCTCCATGTTTGCTGGGGGTGTAGCACTACGAGCTCGGTCTCCTTCCATTAGCTCGGCAATAAGTCTTGCTTTAGGCTTATTGCTGGCTATCTTACCCCTGGCTTCCAACAGCTCCTTTAACGTTTGCCGTTTCAATATGGTGTAGTCCGTCCCCATTCACTTCTGCATCTGTATCAATTGCCTTCTGCTTTCCAGTATGTCAATTCCAATTGTATAAACAGCGTTTTTCCTGCTGTACGGTTGGATCCCGCCGCTTGCCACCAATTGTTGCAGAGCTGCAATTTTATAATCCCAGGATCTCTGCTGGTAGAATGCAATAACCAAGTACAAAGCTGGAAGCAGGCAATATTCCCAAATCCTCCCAAGAACCAGACGAAACACAGTCTGAGAGTCAACTGCCACTTTATTCAAAAAGACTGATATTTAAAGCAGGTCACTCAACTGTCACTTTATTAAAAAAACTGATATAACTGATATTTAAAGCAGGTCACTCAACAGGGGTTTCCAAAGATGGGCAGCAGGGGTTTTGGTTGAGGGGACTGGAGGGAGACTACCGTTTCCAGGTCCTCCTCCCAACAGCCCCTGCTGTAACATACAGTAATGAAAACTACGAGGACATAAACCGTTACCTTTCTACTTCAAAATATACAACTTAGTCAGTTTTAATAGCAATGCTAACGAATGGGGAGGATTCGAACAGACATACACAGTACAGCATAAATTAAACATAGCCGGAGACGCCACACTATACCGGCGCGCAGTACACAACAGAAAATAGGCACAACCATTCTATCTTAGGCAGTCCCAAGTGGCTAGGTTTGCCACAGGGACTACATGGGGAACTTAACAACCTGGACATTTTTCCAATCATGCACTGCTGGACGAGAGGGATACTCCCACTAGAATATACAGTTAAGTGGATTATCCCTCCGTGCAGCAGAACTTACATTTCACATTAAAATCTATAACTTTCACATTATTCACTCTATTTAAACGAATGAACGTTCGTGTGGCAAATCTAGCCACTTGGACATTAAGTACTATCGCTTTAATGGTTGCCTATATGATTTTCGTGTTATGTGTGTTTCTGGGTATACTGTAATACGATTGTGTAGCTTTGTATTGCCTGCATTGGCTATCTGCCGAAAGCAGATAGCTGATTCCCTTTCGTTTCACGAACGGCACTTTTGCGGGCCATTCGTGAACCGAAATAACCACCCTGTAACAGCCCACACATTGAGAGACGTGTGGCGCTCGGTAATTAGAGGCTCTCCTAGGTGGCCGTCGTTCGGCTACCGACCATGCGGCGGTTGGCCATATTGGATCCTTTGTTCCCCCAGCAGTGTTTGGTCGTCGAGCGCGTGGTACTAAAAACAGCTACTCGACGGCGCGAACACCACTGAGCTTCCAGGCCGTTCGGTATTTTATTCCCCATATAGCAATCGGTCTTTTAAGTGTGTGTTTTAATGCGGCGTTCGGTTGTTTTAGCTGGGATCTGAGCGGGAATCTCACGAATGATGCGCTCAGACCCCAGCTATCTACCGAACGTCCATTCGTGCAAATAGACCTAACATTCGAAAAACTGTATATTTTAAAGTAAATTGCCGATTCTGCTGCACGGAGGGATAATCCACTTAACGGTACATTCCAATGGGAGGGTCCCTCTCGTGCAGCAGTGCCTGATGGGAGAAAGGCTCTGTACATTAAGTTCCCCACGTAGTCCACCCCTGGAACAGCCGATAGATACATTTTTGCAATCGGTTAATGGGAACCAACATGACCTTCTGTGTGTGGGCTCCCATTTGGTACTTTGTTTGTTTCATGAACAGTGTTGAAAATCACTGTTTGTGAAACTACCATATGAATGCTAGCAGCTTTCGTACCACTAGCATACGAATTCCCTCTTTCACATTTTAAGCAAACACATCAAAGATCATATATAAACCAGTCTTTCTAGGGAAAACCTCAAAAATAAGGAAAGAAAAAAAATAGTCTTAGGTGGCTAGGTTTGCCACACCAGCTATCTCCCGAACCACTGGAAAAATTCTCACGAATTATGGATATGTTGTTCCCATAGTTATGCTGTTATAAAAATTTTTGGATGTATATTTTTAAAGTTATAAAAATTGTATAAAAACTGTATTTTCCTGCCTGTAATAATTACATTAACCCATTGTGTTCAGTAATTATATCACAGGCAGAGAGGAGGATTTTTGCTGTGTGTCGGTTTATGATTGGTTGTTCCACAATGCCTACGTGGGTGGTAACCTTGTGGATAAATGTGTATATAAGAAGCAATAAAGCCTCAGTGCAGGCAGTTCCTGCTTAACCCTCAATCTCGAGTCGTGTCTCTTATTGGGGGAATTGCTATATCACTACAAGGGATTGTTATGCTCTGCATGCTTCCTTGGATAATCACTTCTAAGTTTATTTCCAGGGTGGGTAGTAGACAGTGAGACCCCAACAAAGCAACGGTGGTTCGTGGGGTCTGCGGTGGTTGTGGTGTCTGGTGGAGCTTTTGGAGCACTCAGGAAGCGCTAGGGGATCCTTCAACGGAAATACCCAGTTGGGGTACCAGGTGGTCCGTTACACACACTGGGTGTCTCTGTATTACACACTGGGTGTCTCTGTATTACACACTCTCTCTGTATTACACACTGTCTGTCTCTGTATTACACACTGGGTGTCTCTGTATTACACACTGTCTCTGTATTACACACTGTCTGGCTCTGTATTACACACTGTCTCTGTATTACACACTGTCTGTCTCTGTATTACACACTGTCCCTATGTTATACACTGGGTGTCTCTGTATTACACACTGTGTCTCTGTATTACACACTGGGTGTCTCTGTATTACACACTGTCCCTATGTTATACACTGGGTGTCTCTGTATCACACACTGTCTCTGTATTACACACTGGGTCTCTGTATTACACACTGGGTCTCTGTATTACACACTGTCTCTGTATTACACACGGGGTGTCTCTGTATTACACACTGTCCCTATGTTATACACTGGGTGTCTCTGTATTACACACTGTCCCTATGTTATACACTGGGTGTCTCTGTATTACACACTGGGTGTCTGTATTAGACACTGTCCCTATGTTATACACTGGGTGTCTCTGTATTACACACTGTCTCTGTATTACACACTGGGTGTCTCTGTATTAGACACTGTCCCTATGTTATACACTGGGTGTCTCTGTATTACACACTGTCTCTGTATTACACACTGGGTGTCTCTGTATTACACACTGTCCCTATGTTATACACTGGGTGTCTCTGTATTACACACTGTCTCTGTATTACACACTGGGTGTCTCTGTATTACACGCTGTCTGTCTCTGTATTACACACTGGGTGTCTCTGTATTACACACTGTCCCTATGTTATACACTGGGTGTCTCTGTATTAGACACTGTCCCTATGTTATACACTGGGTGTCTCTGTATTACACACTGTCTCTGTATTACACACTGGGTGTCTCTGTATTAGACACTGTCCCTATGTTATACACTGGGTGTCTCTGTATTAGACACTGTCTCTGTATTACACACTGGGTGTCTCTGTATTACACACTGTCTGTCTCTGTATTAAGGCTAATTGGGTGTCTTCTGTATTACACACTGTCCCTATGTTATACACTGGGTGCTCTCACACAGTGGGTGTCTCTGTATTACACACTGTGTCTCTGTATCACACACTGGGTGTCTCTGTATTACACACTGTCCCTATGTTATACACTGGGTGTCTCTGTATTACACACTGTCCCTATGTTATACACTGGGTGTCTCTGTATTACACACTGGGTGTCTCTGTATTACACACGGTGTCTCTGTATTACACACTGTCCCTATGTTATACACTGGGTGTCTCTGTATTACACACTGTCTGTCTCTGTATTACACACTGTCTGTCTCTGTATTACACACTGGGTGTCTCTGTATTACACACTGTCCCTATGTTATACACTGGGTGTCTCTGTATTACACACTGGGTCTCTGTATTACACACTGTATTACACACTGGGTCTCTGTATTACACACTGTCTCTGTATTACACACTGTCCCTATGTTATACACTGGGTGTCTCTGTATTACACACTGTCTCTGTATTACACACTGGGTCTCTGTATTACACACTGTCTGTCTATGTATTACACACTGGGTGTCTCTGTATTACACACTGTCTCTGTATTACACACTGGGTCTCTGTATTACACACTGTATTACACACTGGGTCTCTGTATTACACACTGTCTGTCTCTGTATTACACACTGGGTGTCTCTGTATTACACACTGTCTCTGTATTACACACTGGGTGTCTCTGTATTAGACACTGTCCCTATGTTATACACTGGGTGTCTCTGTATTACACACTGTCTCTGTATTACACACTGGGTGTCTCTGTATTAGACACTGTCCCTATGTTATACACTGGGTGTCTCTGTATTACACACTGTCTCTGTATTACACACTGGTTGTCTCTGTATTACACACTGTCCCTATGTTATACACTGGGTGTCTCTGTATTACACACTGTCTCTGTATTACACACTGGGTGTCTCTGTATTACACGCTGTCTGTCTCTGTATTACACACTGGGTGTCTCTGTATTACACACTGTCCCTATGTTATACACTGGGTGTCTCTGTATTAGACACTGTCCCTATGTTATACACTGGGTGTCTCTGTATTACACACTGTCTCTGTATTACACACTGGGTGTCTCTGTATTAGACACTGTCCCTATGTTATACACTGGGTGTCTCTGTATTACACACTGGTTGTCTCTGTATTACACACTGTCCCTATGTTATACACTGGG